TATATATAATAAAAAGAATTTAAAAAGATTTTTTAATACTCGTTAAATCTCTCCATTTATCAATTTCTCTTTAAAATATTTATTCTATATAAAAGTATATAAAATACTTGCTTCAAATCGTTACGAACGTTTTTCTTTCAGGAAAAAAATAAATAAATAGACCCCCGATACCACCGTTTCTTTTATGATTCGTCACGAAATCTTTGAACAAAAATTTCGCGGCGATTCATAAATTCTCAATAATTCACAAATTAAATATAAAATGTTTCGATATTGCCTATATCTCTAGTCAAATTACTTTATATCTAATTATTAAATTGGTCTCATTATAGTCCGATAATACGGCATATTGTTTGGTATTTGCCTATATAAATTGTCTGAGGAGCTCGGAATCGAATCCGACCAAGCATCCCCCAAAACTTTTTTGGGGAGCTGTTTGTTGGATCATTTGGATCCCGACCTCCACAAAGGTGAGGGCTGTACCATTGTGGGGCATGGCCGAACCCACGATAAATCTGAGAAAGGTTCTCTTAATGACCACAGAAAGAATTTAAAAAAGACAAAAAACTTAGAATAGATGGTAAAATCCTAACTCAAAACTATTCATGAAAACATAGTAGGAGCGAATTTTGAATTCCAAATTATAACTTTGCATATAACTTTATTGTTGCATAAGAATTTATCATTATTATAATAAAATCATAATTGGAAAAACGAAACCATAAACAAGTCATTTTTAAATTTCCTACACAGTATATTCAAATTTTGAAAATTCAGTTTTGACATACCTATTTAATAAAAATGCTGGAAAGCTATTATAAATATAACAATAAAATAAAAATTGAAAAATAATTGTTTAGATTTATAAAATAGGAACCTAAATTTGATTTACGGTATGTTTAGGGCCGTCGAGAGAAGCTGGGGAATTTTCCTCGGCCCGGAGAAAACTTAGGGGTCATAGTGATTTTTAAGACTGCTTTTTTATGAATAAAGAAACCTTCTACGTATTCAAATCTCTTCGCCTTTTGCCTCTGCACCCTATAAGAGGCAAATGGATATGCTCTACAGCCGGGTCCCATCCCCATACAAGCTCCCGACGGCCCGTTATACGTTTCTACTTTTAGAAGAGATTTGATAAAATTCAAATAATCGTAGTCTGTAAAATAATTCTGAAAGACATTTTCAATAGTGTTTAGTTATCTATAAAAATAAATCTGTCAATATTATCTACGATACATAAACAATATCGTAATATCGTCATAAAGATTACGATGGATGCCATTTCAAAAATGACATGGTGAATTTAGAAAATTCAATACACAAATAGAGAAATGAAAATATGGTTTATTTCTGATAGCAAATATTATTTATTTGAAATTACATCATAAAAATTATCTTGTCTCGATGATTCTGATAAAAATTATATTTTTATATGCGAAAATCAGGTTATATGTTGATAATTATTTGTAAAATATAAACGATTACTATTTATAGAATATATAAAAACTGTCTTTTTAAAATTGAAATATAATTTTTTCTTCGAAATTTGAATTAAATAGCAATAGACAACGTAATTCAGATTAAAAGTATAAATTTAAATATAAAGTTTTGGTTTTTCTTGGCAAATACAAACATAATTTATTTTTTATGTTTATTTTTTTACAATACAGCCGACCCCCTATAACACTGTTAATTATTCCGTTTTATATAAATTCTATGTTGTACGAGCCACTTAGATTTTACAAATACGTGAGCCGTTCACAGCTCGGCACACGTATTTGTAAAATCTAAGTGACTCGTACAACATGGAATTCATATAAAACGGAATAATCAACAGTGTTATAGGGGGTCGGCTGTATTAATACTAATTAGTGAAAAATCATCGCAAACTCAATCTTTTAGAAAAACTCAAATAAAAAAATGACTACAGTATTATATTAAATGTTAATTAAATGTAGATACTGTAATTATAATTTGTATAAAAGTAGGCCTATATCTTAGGAGTAATAATTATATCATTTGTTCCCTTTAAATTAATTGATTCTGTAAACTGTATATAAACTATAAATTTTGAACTGTTTACATTATAAAATAAATTAAAAATTAATTATAAATTTTGTGCCGTTTAGACTAGACTTTTTAAAAAACTACATAGTCGAGATTAAAATAATATGTATTAGAAGTAACTTCGTTCATATAATACATATTTATAGTTCTGTTTTTAAATTTAGAGAATATTTTAAATTAGGGTAATATATAATTTAAATAATAACTTTTAAATTAAAATTACCCAATAAAATTTAACTTAATACAGGTTACAAATAGAAAATCTGTTAAATAAACAGATAGAATTCAAAATAGGATGAAAGTAAAGTCTCCTATTACTTGAAAGATTAACCTTGATTTAGGAAACTTGATATACTTTAAAAAGAAAGCAATCGAATAAAATTTTTAATTTCTCTCCCATTATATGAATAACATATATTAATCATGATATTATCAATGTGATTTATCAATAAAGAATATCATGGACTATGAACATTTAAAACATCAATTGAAATCAAAATTAATTTCATAAATGCCGGAATTTCTCTTTGTATTTTAATCATATTATTTCAATAAATATTTTTAAAATCAGTATTTTCTACTTATAAAGATGGACCCTACAGGTTACTATCCTTTCTTTCTTTTAATATTATAAGAAAAGTTTGCCAATAATAGAAATCATAGTAATGATTGTAAGCCTTATCATCATTGATTGCGATATTAAGTTAATCTGTTTATCGATATGATATAAGAAATTATTAAAGAATCGTCCAATATTCATAAACAGAGTTCTACTCAAATTTTGGTTTTAAATTCCCTGACCCTCAAGTCCCTTACGGTATGGCACATTAACAAAATAAAACATTACTTGACTTACTACTCACATTACACTATTGCTCCTTCAATTTTTTAACTGGTTATTTTTTCTAATTAACAGTTATATACCTTTCATAATCGATAAATTAGTAAAATTAAAAATAAATTACGAAAGAAAGAATTATGGCATGTCTTCTCTACATAAAACTAAAATGTTTCATTAAATAAAAATAATTTATCCTGTTATTAACCCATGACTGTAAAACTTCATGGCTTTGAAAAAAAGGAAAAAAAATTATTTATTATTAACATATTCTGTATAATCCATGTACAAAAGTGTAAGTTTATTAAATTTGTCCTTTAATTTAATAAATTTTTCAAACTTTATAAAATATAAATACTGGAATAAAAGTTTCAGAAATCAGAAATTGTTTTGTTATGCGATCAAAATTATTAAAATGAAAAATGATAAATACTATTTGAATTAATATTAACGAAGAACCAAAAATGATAAATACTTATCATTTTTTTTCATCAATTCATTAACGCCTGCCCTCAAATTGAAAGTGTAATTGTGTGTGTGTATGAGAGAGAGAGAGAGAGAGTTAAAATATTTCAAAAGATTGTTATCAACGTTAGATTATTAAGAGTATTAGATATTTCTCTCAAAAACTTATAATACTGCATAATTAATACAACAGTTTTAAAATCTAAAAGTATTTTAAAATTTAAAAATAACAATTGATGTTGTTGTATGCTTATATATTTCGTGCACTATAATTTTGGAAAAATTTTCTGTATGTTTAGGAGAAATTTTGGATCCTGAAAATATTCTGCACCCCTTTTCATAAGTAGAATTTACTACAATACTTCTTACTGCCTGCAGACAGCTACACTTGGTCAAACAAATAAACAAGGAAACCAAGAAAACAAATTCCCTGACTTTTTGACAATTTTTAACAAATTCTGACTTTCCATGATTTTTTCTGAACACTAATGATCCCTGACTTTCCAGGTGCGTAGGAACCCTGCATGAAGCATTTTTTTTTCTGTTATCGTGAAACATTCAGATAACTAAATTTTATAAATTTAACTTGGTTTCTCATCCTATGGAAAACTTTCTCAATGGATTTCGGTTTATGCCAAAGCTCATTGAAGAAAGAAGCCATTTGTAATGGACAACTTGACGTCAGCAATAATCATAGGATTACATTTTCATTATGATCAAATGTTTTAAAAATGATACTGAATTAGAAACAGCGTTTATTCTTTTGATATTATCGTTTTCTGTCTAAAATAAAAACAAAAAATTGGTATATACATTTTTCCCTCTTTCCGTCTTAAGAGGACCTTTTTTCTAAGCTCATTGTGGGTTCGGTCAGTGCAACAATGGGGCGGCCGGATGGCGAGGAACGAAACTCGAAATATTTGGAACAGACACTCCCTCGAAAAATTGGTGTTTCTCGAACGGATTCGATC